TAGAAAACGTTCGAGAGAAACTATCCTTAAAAGCCCGCCTTAAGAGTCTATAAGAGGAGCTAATAGTATATATAAGGAAGGAGACGTCTATAGCTAAAGAGAAGAACTAGGACTTATCTTAAAGGAGGGCCCTTAGCTTAATTAAGACTTATTTGTTTTAAAAAAGGAAGACCCCCTTTCTTATAAGACTTAATTCCTCCTTAGGCCCCTTTTCCTAAAGTAGGTCTAAAAGAGCCTAGGGCTAAAACCCGGATTTCTAAAGTAAGGGATAAGTATAAACTAAGACCTCCTTTATACGCTTACCGGCCTAATTATTTAGCTTTACCTTTTTTATAAGGGCAGGCTATAGCTAAGGGGGTATATTACGAAGCGTAGCTTAATTTTATAGTTCTTAGAGATATCCCTTAGTAAGAGGGACCTAGGAAGCTAAAAACCCGGTTTAAAAGAAAGAGCTAAAAGGGGGTATAAAGAGGAGGGTAGGGGTAAGAGGGGAAGTAAATATAGCGATAGCTTCTTATAAAGGTAGCGAGTAATAAGATAGATATACTAATAACGGCTAGAAAGGAGGGGAAAAACTAGTAAAAATCTTAGTAGCTAAGAGGATATTAGTAGCTTCTTTAAGTAGGATCTTCTTTATTAATTAAGATACTAGATAAGTATAAAGAGGGGTGTTAGATAGACGATAGAAGGAAAATTAAGGTAATATAATAATTACTCCCTTACTATAATTACTGCCCTTATAAGAATTAAATATCTCTACCTTACTTATCTAACGCCTTACTTTTACTTTTACCTTTATATATTTTATATATACTTCTTATATCTCTCTTTATAAGAATTATATCCCCTAAGTTTAATCTCTTCTTAGACTATATAGCCTTATTTAAAAAGAGCTTTAAATATATTAAGAGCTAGTATATACTTAGTATAATAATATAGGGCCGAATAATTATTTATTTAAAGCTTAGGAGAATAGAAGAAAACTCTATCTTAATCGCGCTAACTATTTATCTTCCTTAGTCTTTAGCTCGACCTATATTTAGGTGCTATTTAGCCTAAGTTTAGGTTAAGCTTTACCTATATATAGGTCTACTATAGGTTAACTTTAGCGCGGTTACTATTATATAACCTTAGCCCTTTATAAGCATTACCTATAATAATAATAAAGCTAAAAATAATTAAATACTTAAAGAGGTACTACTATACTTATTAAGTATAAAGAAGCTTATAATAGCTATAGATAAGCTTAACTTTATCTTAAATAATAAAAAGTATAAGAATAAAAAGTTAGTAAGAAAAGAGGTTAAGAAGATCTTATCTTTAAATAAAAAATAATAATATAATTAATTAGTACTAGACTTTTAGTTCTTTAATCTCTATAAATTTACTTAACTAAAAGTAACTTTAAATAGTAATCTACTAAGTTATTTTAGGCTAGTCTAGGTACCTAGCTTTACTTAAAGTATATACTAATAACCTATAAGTAATTATAGCCTTTTATCTTAAAATCTATTTCTACCTATAGACTAGACTAAAAGAATTAGGCGGCCTATAGGTAGCTACGGGCGCCTACTTTTAAAGTCTACTCCCGAGACGGTTAGACAGCTGCCGGGGTACCGGCAGCTATACTGTCTTCTAAGAACGGCCGCATAGCTGCCCAGACATAGCCTAGGCTTTCCGGCTCGAAGTGCTGTATAAGCTGAGCTTACGCTCTGCGCAGTAGATGCTGCATGGGGCCCGGACCACTGACGAGCGCGGCGATGCATTCGTTGGAAGCGGCATTGCTGGTAGGTTTGAAACTCTTCAAAGGGGAAGATAGTCAATAGATCGACTGCAAACGGCGCGGTGCGCAATCAGCTATCGTCGTCCCCATTTGCTGACGCCGCTTTTATAACCTTTCGACTGGAGGAGGCTCGCAAGGGTTTTCTGGCCCTGCGACGCTCTGGCAAGTGTCGACTGGTCCGTGATGGATTCAAAGTAGGTCTTCTGCGACGACATGGCTTCGGCGGGGTATGAGCTTGGGAGCTGAAGGGCTGATGGCTGGGGACTTTGGAGTGAAAGATGCAAGTCGAGTTGCGGGCCAGAGGCACAGGGGGTGGCCCGCCTAGCTTTTAAGCGAAGCTGTAAGCTGCTGAAATCCTCATCTGTCCGATTCGGCCAGATCCGAGATAATTACGTATCAATGTCCTTTGTTGTGGGCAAGTTCTGCAGTGTTGACTTGACTCGTTAAAGAAGGTAGGCCGCCCGTGGCACCGCAGGCAAACTGCAGGCAACAGTCCTCACAGGCACCCCTTGGAAATCACCTGTCCCTCTTAGGAGGATGAAACGGTTTGTCGCCAGCCAGATGGCCTCACAGCCACCTCACAGCCGCGCGCCAGTTGTGCATATGCAGGACGCGGTAAAAGTGTCTGTAGGGGCCCGCAGTCGAGGAGACCCAGCATTGTCGCGTCGATGCTTATTTGGCCAGTCAATCACCGCCACTTCCCGGCCTTCTGAGTTCTGCAGTCTCTGTGGGGGTTGGCGTCAGGCGAGCGTCGTGGCCCAGCAGGCTGCCCTTGTAGGCTTCTGCCACCGAGAGCAGAGCCGCTGGGGGCGTTCGCCGCGGCTGGCCCCGGAGCCCACCCACACTCACACGGCGCGCCCGGTGTCCAGGTCGCGCAACGAGATGCCCACGCCCTCCTTGACCAGGTCAAACGCCAGCTGGCCCGACGCGTCTCGGAAAGTGTCACCACCATGCTCTAGAAATGTCTTCCCGTTGTAAGGCTGCTGGACAATCTACTCATAATTTAGCTGTCTTCATATGAGCGTTACTTGCTATATACCAATATTTGCTGTTATGACTTTCTCTAAAAGCGAACTCGTTTTGCCATCGAAAGTGTTTGCTTCAAGCTCAAGGATATAGCACCCACCAACCTCTTCTGAAAGATTTGGAAATCGGTCAGCGTTCCCCATGAGCTTCAGAAACAATGACGGAATGGCTTTCCGTCGTTCGTTGATTGCCTCTTGAGCTTAATAGCCGAACGAGCACATAAAATCCGGTTCGCTTGCTATGACCGAATGAAGGGGAGGCTACAAATGTTCGGCACTCATACTGCCAGTCCCCTAATAGTTAACTAAACGGGCTCCCTGTAAGGATTGGCTTGGGGCTCCCAGGAGAATTTCTCACTGGCCCCATTTGACCAAAATCTTGATCGAGTTGCCCGCCCGGCAGTATTCCTGTTCCTGCTCGCCGTTTGCTTGCTCTTTCTCTGCTTAATCTTCGGGTTCGATATTCACCTACTTTTCCTCCTCTTTCCTGCTACATCGCTCGCATGCTTAGCGGCTGGCTTCAAAGGGGCAGGATTTGGTGTAAGTGGAACGTCGGGTTTTCCGCCTTCAGCATCATCCGCATGGGCCCGGCTGCGCTTTGCGGTCCTGCAGGCACTATCAGGGGATACGACCAAGCTTGAAGGCTTCAGGTCTTTGCGAGTGCTCTCACTGATCTGCATGAAGTTAGTCTGCAGGAAACCCCAAGGGCCGCAAGATTCCCCCGGGCTGACTTGTCAGATGATTCGCTCGGGCAATTCGGTTCTGCGATTGCTGGCCAAGTTGCGTCCTGAGAGGACTCCCTTGTTCTCCGACGTCTTCGCGCCGAGTAACGAATGATCGCCGGGGGTGCGCGGTGACTCTGTTCTCTAAGTAGGTGTGCGGACCTGGTGACAACACCAGACCAGACGCCGCGGGGATGCCTGCGTTTTGCCTTGCATGGGTTCGAGACAACGGATGAAAGAGGATGCCTGTACGGAGAAGTTCAGCTCATGCCTCGACCACAGCGGCAACGACCGGCTGCTGCTCCCTGGGGGTACTTTATTTGCCCGGGTGCTTGTTAGCTTGTTTCGGACTCCCGGTACTCAGCACTCAAACTTGGAAATACAAACCCATCAGTGGCAACCTTAACTATTGACAGGTCTAACTAGGTCTATGTAGAAGAGTCGGTCACTGGGGCAAGCCGTCTGTGGATTCGATATCGTTAAGAAAATTGGCCAGCTCATGCCCACCTATTATCGACATGGCAACCCCAACGGCACCGATGGCACCAACGCATGCTTTGCATCTTGCATTTCTATTGCTGTAGCGGATCCGTCCCTTGATGACAAGGTCTTTGATCGACATCACCCCTGCATCGGTCAACTAAGAATGTCTTGCTGTCTTACAATTAGGGTGAAAATCTAAGGCATCACGCCGATCACGCCAAGGAAAAGGTGGCTGTGCCATATCCCCATTTATCCCGGTCTGTCCAATTGATTTCTCATCCAAGACAGCCGTTGATTCGGTTACGCGCCCATGATGGAAAAAAGCAAAATTGAAGAAAGAAGAAATCTCACGGCCTGGCCTCGGGGCCCGTCAACCTGTGCCCGTTTCCGCCTGCCTCGACATGGGAGTTCTATAGACGAGACACTTTTTGCTCTAGGTTATTGACTGATGCTGGCTTCTTGGCCTAGCAGTCGCATCTCATGTCGGTGCGACCCCGAGTCTGGCTACGAATAGTATCGTAGTGAGGCCCTTGTCGAACACTTCCCCTCCTACACGCAACTTGGACTTTGCAGCCCCTTGAATCTCGCACATAGAAGCTATCTGGCCGCCGCATCCATGAAATATCAGGCTGTGACCCGAGGAACCTTGATTTTTGCAAACATGGCCGCGTCTCGTCTGACGCCGAGCGGACCAGCTTCTGTGAAACTTGCCTCCGCCGTCTTACGGTTGGCTGCCCCTTGAGGGTATCATGAGTACGGGCAGCCCCTGATCTGTTATCACTGCCGCCATGTTCCAGTAACTGGCACCAGCCAGGCTTTCAATACAAAAGATGGACTCTTCGCCATCCGGTCGACACTATGGGAGGAGGCATTCCCCATTGCCTACAAGAGCTGCGTCCGCTGGTCCCGGCTGCTATCCGTTTCGCCCAGACGAACTTCCTTCCGTTCCCTTCTCTTTCATCTCTTTTTCTATTCGAACTCTTCACAATGGTGATTTTGCGCTTTGCCGTGGTCGGCATCATGGCCCAGGCTACTATGGCTGGTACCATAGCGGTCAGGCGAGAACACACTTGCGCTACTAGAGACCCCAGCCCGGAGGAGCAGGGCCTCTGGAAGCGGCAGCAGAATGAGGTGGATAACGGCCGGAGCATCGAATTAGGTGCAGCTTTTCACTTTTGCTGTGTTTCAGAAACAGACTGCCCATCTGTAAGAGATGCCACCAAAAGACATTGCCCACCTCGCCCGCGAGTAACCGCCAGTTCTGACTTGACATCGTGTAGGACGGAATCGCCAAGAATGAAATCAACGTCATGAATGAATTCTACGCCCCAGCCCAGATCAACTTCAAACTGCAGAACACGAGTCGCATCATTGATGCCAGCTGTGGCCAGACGGATGTGACGGACCAGGCGACCATGGACAACTTGAAGATGAAGAGCCACCAAGGAGATGTGGGAACGCTCAACATCGTCTACGTGCCAACCAACGAAGGCCCTGGTGCCAAAGGTTATTGTGTTATCCCCCCTCCTTCCGACAACATCGGTCAGATATTCGGCCGCAAGGATGGCTGTGTCGTCGCCACAAGCACCCTCCCTGGTCAATCGAGATTCGGCGGCGATGATAAAGACGTGACTTCGGTCCATGAAGCTGGTCACTGGCTTGGACTTCAGCACTGGAATGAGGGGAACGGCGGTCCTGGGTTCAATCGCAGACAGACCGGCGGCACACGCAACATCATGGTCCCTTTTCAAATGTATGTCTTATCCTCACTTGGCATGCTTGGTGCAGTATGGTCAATGTCAATTTCTCCTAACATGTCGATATCAGTACGGGGCAAGGCATAAAGTACCAGTTCGACCAGAGCCAGATACCCAGTATGCGACAGATGGCGCTGAGACGCAAAAGCCAAGGTAACTCCGGTAGTCAGATTCCCAAAGGGGATGATGGCCAGGAACCCGGCCCTGGGGGTTCCGCCAATTTCCCGGGGGGTCCGAGATTTTCACAAGGTCCTACGGGCTCTGGAAATGGGCAAGATCCTACAGGCTTTGGCAACACGGGGGATCCTACTGGCTCTAGCAATAAGCAAGGTCGCCCTGCATCGCGATTCCCTCAAGACCCTGAAGACTTCGACAGCACGGGGGTTCTAGCCGGCTCGGGTAACGGGTATGGAGGCCCGGGGTTAATCGTCTCACAAGGTTCTACGGGCTCAAGCCCCCAACCACTAGGGGAAGACCCGAGTCTGGTTACTTCGCCCCAGCCCGCAGATGAAGATGCGAGTCTTGACACTGGGCTAGTCGATGAAGGGCTATCTAACCGGGACCTCGAGACGGGATTCGCCAAACGCGACGCATATTCTCTAGAGCCAGGTACTGCCGACAGCATGATGGGGCTGGTTCAAGGTGCTCGCCGCGGCACTGAGGCTGCTTCCCAATAGGCGGGTCTTGAAGACAAGGCAGCGAAGCTCTGACTTATGAGTCTCAGGCACCGCCACTACTCGAGATATGTACCGACTTGGTCTTGCCTTTTGTAGTTCGACTTATTCCCATGGTCTCGAAAAATGACCCGCCGGTGTACCCGGTTAGGCTATGTTTCGATGCTTGACTTTATTGGAGACGCTACTCATGGGCATGGCCATTGTTTCGTCAGTCAAGATGTCAGTTAGGAAGAGCGACATGTGTAGGAAAGTTCTATTATTATTTAGACGCTAACAATCGATTCTGCCGTCATCACATAAAGACACAACTCGAACGATATAACCATCTTCGTACTACTTCGGCGTTTATTTAGTCTCGGGATATATATCGTGATAGCCAAAGCTTGGCGTCTCTATATCCTACGTGGCTTTCCTAAACTTATTTGCTACTAGTTCTTTGGCCCCTTTAAGCCTTTACCTCCTCAGAGGTCTTCGACCGTTGCCTACATTGGTGCCTATAATGACTTATATTTGATTGACCTATTAGATTCTCGTCCTACATTTATTTCCCGTAGACGCTCGTATTTCTGCCTACCATAAGCTACATGGTTTCGATATTCGCCGTAGCATAACCGGCTATGCGGTCACAGATCACATGAGTCGATATAGTACGATAGCAAGCTGAAAAGAAGATCATCCCCTGTCATATGCGTCTGTGGATAAGTATCTAAAGAAAGTAATAGATGCAGTGGTGATAGAAGCCCGACAATGGTCGGCCGAGCTTTAACTCCAGTAAGAGAGAACTCTATACAAATAAAGCTCTATCTACTTTGGCTGTCGTCTATATGCTCGCTAAAGACTATAAGACAGAAATTTCGACTAAGAACCAATCCCAAGGCCGGCAAACCGATTTTTGGTGTCATCAGTAAGGTCGAAGTCATCCTTAACCGTCCCAGCCGCTTTCTTAATAGCATCCTCTTTAAAAAGACCCTCCTCGCCCTCAAACGTGAAATCCCCAAAACGTGGATCACCCTTGAACTGGTCCGGGTTAAAACGATCATTAGCATTCTGGAGTCACCCGTGGTATCAGCGCCCCGCTCCAACAACCTGGTTGTCTGTCAATGTTGGAAAGAAACCACTTACTCCTGGGCCGTGACCTTCATCAAACGCCGGAAGAAATTGTCCTCGGGAATTCTGTTCATCTGCCAGCGGACTAGCCATAGCCAGTCCGGTGAAAACAATGAGGACAGTTGTTGAGTCCTGCATTTTAGAAATAAGAGGCTGGCGAAGGACAAGTGAATAACAGGTGGACGAAGAATAGGTCAACAAGGTGCACTGCACTGATGAAATCAAGGTCGGATTGGATATCTAGGTGCCGTGGCACACGGCTCTTAAATATTTTAGTTCAATATATAAGAGAGACTTGAGCACGTGCAAGGATAAGGCTGCCTCTTCGAGCTTCTAAGAAAATCCCAAGGCTACGCGAGTCATCACTTCGACGATCGCAACTCCCCATAGTTACATAAGTCAGATAACTTTCTCTACAACGTGTTTTACGCCCAATGATAAAACTTAAATCTCCTACTTGGGATCATCCATCATCGTCCGTTCTTTTCGGCATTTGCTTTACCGGCCTGGGTCTGGTAAACTGTCCCGTCTGCTTTAAGAGCTAACAAGCTCCAAGACGAAAACAAGAAACAGAACCGAGACTGACAAAGCTAATGCCATCCGCCAGGCTACCTCGGAACAGCACACCGCCAAAGTTAATAAATCTATTTGGCCCTTGGTCAAGTACTTGGCAGATCAAAGTGCTTCCTTCACCAACGGCTATGTTGAAGACTCGAGTTCTTTATTAATGTCAGAATATTATAGGCAACAACCGTTGACCACTACGTATAACAATGACTCAACTTTGCTAGATGACACGATGACATCTGACCTGGCACCTCCTTCCGGGCATGTAGCTGTTGAGTGATTCAAGTGCATTACAAACGTTTGAATGACCTATCGTAAATATGGTGCGACACATCACCCCGAGGCGGTCATGCTGTAGGAAGCCGCAGGTGACTGTATCCACAATGCAGCTGGCTTGGCGTGTCACAGGGGGGGCGCACAAGGATAACACGGCTCGGGCCTCTATCCCCCGAGCGGATATAAGCAAGTGACTCGGCAGGCCTGCACCTCTTTGAGGCCTTCGGGCTGTCATAAGATGGCTCATATTTAGACGTGTGTTTGCGAAGCTATGGTCCCTATTGGATTTTACCACCATGTTTCCAGGAGCTTCCATCATGCACCATCGTGGAGATTGCTACAGGACTGAATGCATCTTTGAGGAAGACATAGACGGAATCCTTAAACTTGATCGCGCCGATCCTCGTTCCAGGGTACCAAGCCATGAGTTCCGTGACGCTCTCGTCGAATTCCACGATCACGAACTTATCTTGAGAATTCTTCGTCGCGTAGAATATATGCGGCTTTGCCCCGTTCGGCCATTGGCAAGCGGCAATGGGAGAATTGATAGCAACCTGATGGTTCGTCCGGACGACCTTCTTGTCTGTGACCGTGGTTAGGCCTTCACTACTCTTCGGCAAGGCAGGGAAATAGTACTCACTGCTCCATTTTTCGTAGCTCCCATCGTATCGTACAATGTTGCCTTCGTGATCTTGGAAGAACAGATAGGTGGTGATGTCCGTGAGACTCGCGGCAAGGCTCGTCCCCGGGAGCGCATCTGCTGGGCTTTCGGGCAGTACCTTTCGATAAACCCATTTCCATTTGTTTTCGTTGTGTTCATCTTTTTCACCCTTCCTAATCTCTGCCACGACCGTTTGGCCTTTATCGCCTAGCCTAGTTTCCCATACGATTAGCAACCGAGAACAAGAAAAGATGCCTGGGGCAAATTGGCTCACTGCGCGAAGAAAACCCATTGATGAGATTTGTCTTTAGTGTTATCGTGGCAGATGCCACTGGAAAGTCTCGAGGTTTGAATTGGTGCCGTGCTGATGTCGTCTGGGAACTTCATTGGCGTCCATGCGTCCTTCGAGATAATTCGAACCCGCTCTCGGAGTGTCTTTTTCTTGTCAAGGTAGACAACGTGGATCTTGGATTCGACGTGTTAGCGAGTGCGACCATCTAATATCTTGCACCGGGTCTTACAGTCGATTCCCAACCGCGCCCGCTGTCGAACTCGCCGTCATGGCGGATAAAGAAAGCTGTTATAGGCGATCCATTTCCATCCAGCTCATCGTTAGCGACCACTGGGCCCGACTTCCAAGTTTTTGCGTCTTTGGTAAAGGCCTCGTGGATGCTAGTGCCGTCTTGATAGTAGACATAGATCGTATCATCGGTGGCTATCGCAGCAAGATCGGTGCTAGTGATGGAAGGCATGGCTTCTGCGTGGGGTTCTCGTAGACTGTGAAGAGAAATGTCTTCTTTATCTCAACTTGGAAACATTCTAAAGGTGCGGCCTGCCAATTCTTATAGCTTTCCCGCCCAGTACTGCGCCACCTATTCCTCCAATGTCGAAGCTTCGGTGATTCTACGTGCGAGCCGAGAACATCGGTGTTAGAGCCAGCGTTCGCCTCCAGCATCCTGTGATACCAGTTCCTCATCTCAAGGTCTCCCGCCCTCACGCCACTTTGGGAGACCCGGGCTGCTCCTCGGCGCTATTGATGCATGACGTGCTTTTTGCAGTTACAGAAGCTCAGTCAGCAATCCAAGTTGCATTATGTGGCAAGGCTGATTGGGTTGTGTAATGTTTCGACTTCTGGCTTCGCCGAGAGTCAAGACTTGAAGCCGGTAGAGCGAACTCAGGCCACCACGGCTACGGGCTGACTGCTTGTTCAGCGGTGAGCGAACGTGGAAGTAGGTATGTGCATTTACGAGCTGAATATGCACAAGGCTGGCTGTATGTGTAACTTAAGCGCATAAGCTGGTACGGAGATGGTGACTCGAGCTGTGGGTCCGCGTTAATGGAACGCATAAGCGCATGCTGAATCGCCCAAGGTCTGCAGAGCGTGTCCCGATGCATTGCCCTATTATAGATCGGATCGACAGTACGAGGCGGCTGGTGATGGGGCGAGTGGGGCTTCAACGTCCTTCAGGTTGCCTTGTGATAAATCATATCGACAATTTACTGTACGAGCAGTCGGTCCGAATTGCTAGGGTACAGTACAGTACACTCAAACTCAAGGAACATGCTCAAACCCTCTCCATAACATGGTCATATTTCCCCCAGTTGATCAAACACGAGAGGATTGCCATCGTTCTCGCATCCTTGGCACGTCATGCTTCACTCGCCATTGGCAAGCAGCTATACAGACAAAACTCAGGCTGTTGGATACCTGGAAGCTGCCTCTGTTGATCGAACAGGACAGACTTCGAGCCGCAGCCGGATGATGGATATATTAGGCCGTAAGACTTCTCGCATGGCTTCCTGTTAGGTTCTCTCTAGGCTGATAGATGGGAGGCTTCTCTTCTCATCTGTATTAAAGAAGCAGGTCACCGGCTGACCACCTCTTTTACAAAGAGAGGAAGATAACAACCAACCGCCCGATTCACTTATTCTATGAGGCTTCCTCTCCGTGAGATTACTGCCCGTATTGCTGACAGTAGGGCAAAACAAAAAGGGGGCTTTCTGGGTGTTGAAGCCGAACGGGAAGAATCTGCAAACAGCTTAGTGTGGCGGCCCAGGGGATCACTCTTGGCGAGATGAAGTTGCATTGTGTTGCATTGACCCCCGGCCACATGACAGCCCGCCGATGTATCCGGCGATCCAGGAGCATCGGAGAATATATTGCGTAACTGCTCCACGTTTCGGCGCTATGCGGCACGCACGGGCATAGTCAGCCGCGGTACGATGCGTTTGGCCCCGGGCCAAAGGGATCTGTCACATATTGGCGTCACATCAGGGTTGTTTCCACGACGATCAAGACGGATGCGGCACTATGAGGCCGGCAACTGATTGATAGTCTTCGTATACCGCACCGATACTACAGTACAATTCCTAGAGCGCGTTCCACTTCCTGACGGTTCAGTGGGATTTTACCATCCGATAGTGAGAGTTCATGTAGTAACTAACCATACGGAGAATAAGAATTGCAACTTAAACGTATACAGACCTAATATTGCAGCATGCCGCCATCTATCCTTGCTCCTCGAGAATAAAGAGAGGAAAAACCGTGGCAAGTTCCAGGGGGCATTCTAGTAAGACGACACGCTCGGACTTGCCTTTGAAAAAAGAACATGAACATTAATAATGTCTTCTGGTGAACTGACTCTCTCCATGCAGGGGGGAGGGGGGGGCGAGAATTCAATAAACAATGTTTTCTACATGCTTGCCCATATGGCTTTGACGAAGGCAACAGTGTTACTCACCACCGCCATCAGGCTCCCGCTCGTAAATCCCGCTGCCTGGCTAGACTGCTTGGGTCCACAGTAGGAAGACAGCTGAGCATGCAACTAAAAATCGATAATTTTCTTTTCTTGCATTACCATGCAGCTTGAACTTGAACCCCTGGAGTAATTCGCCCAGCAAAGGTTAGTCCCGATGCTTCTACGAGAGGCGCTCTCTACTGGCTTCTCTTGGCGACCAGACAGCCCCAACATCACACTAATAAGCGAAGACTGCATTTGTTATCAGATGTAACGATCCTTCCAGATTCTAATCAGACAATTTGCTCAAGGTCTCTTCTTTGGGTCTCCTGACGCCAGCCATGTTGTAAGAGGCTCGCCTGTGGTTTATTCAAGCCGCAGGTGCCTTCACATTCTCTTCTCTAGAACAAAAGAAGGCAGAGGGTTGCAAACCTAGATCGGTTGGCTCTTGTCCATGGTTTTCAACGTTGTGGACCGTAGCCAAGGGCAACCGCTGTGCTGAAGCTGATACCCATCATTATTGAGCCCAGCCCGTGACATATGACACATGGGATCTTGTCGATGTACGCTTTCTGTTTCAGCCAGCCGTCTTATGTGGCGGTGGCAAGGCCCGCTCACCCGACGTCGCTGCCAAGCGATAAGAAAACATCACCGACAAGGGCTATAATAGGGGCGGATGTGACATGCACGACGAATCGCCGAGCATGTTCAGCTGGGACCCATCTCGGAAACGCCGAACGCTGTCGTCATGATCAAGTGCTCAGGGGTTTGCGAAGGCATAAATAGAGACCTGATTCTGCATGAACTGAGATGGAAGCCAGCAATCTTCACTCCTCTATCCAAAGCCAGAAGAAAGAAGAAGAAGAACAGCAACCATGCGATTCACAAGCGGCCTTGCGCTTTTTGCCTCCCTTTCCTCTGTGCTCTCTGCGACTGACACTCCACCTGATTCAATTGTGAGTGGGCATACTTGCATTTTGCTTCAAGAATCATATTGCTGACTTCTGGCAGACGCAAATCTGCAAGAAAAGAGGTACGCATGATAGCCAACATGATGCCATTGGGATATCATGCTCACAAAAATGCAGGTCAAGTCCCTCAGAAAGTAGGGAAGAGCTGGGGCTGCGCCTCGTCTTCGAGCATTTGCGACCCTGAACAGGATCAGAGCACCCTGCATGAGGACCGCAAGACAGGCGAATGGGCTTGTTGTCCTAGGGGACAGCCTTTGGTCGGCAGCTCTTGTGAGCAGCCCAAGCCTGATGGAAAGCCTGACCAAAGTGAGTACAATGTACAGTCAGTTTTGGCGACAAATGCTAAGACGCTGCAGCACCTATCAAGCGACCTGGAACCTGTGGAGCTCTCGTCAATGATGCCGGGCTGGAAAACCTCCTCCGAGTTCTTTTGCAGCAGTGTTACCCTCACGACCAGGTTTCTTTGAATGTCCTCATCAAGTACTTCATCACCATTCTTCACCAGAGTATCGATCTCATCGATATCTTCTACAAAAAGGACTGCGATACTCCCACTCCTGGCCCCGGGCCGAACCCCAAACCGAGCCCCGGACCTCATCATGATTGGTACGATTGCTCGTCGGGCTCGACTTGCAAATGGCTTCCATTGGAGAACAACAAGACCCCCAAGAACCTAGCGGTAGCCAACGAGCCCACGCTTTTGCCAAACCCCAACGCGGCCGTGGCGAGCTACAAGTATCCTTTTGATACATGGGTGACAAAGTTCGAAGGGGATGATTTGGACATTTACATCCAGGGTCGGAAGCTCCCTGTGCAGGAATCCGGGACGAGTTATTTGATTCCTGCTGGTACGTATTTATACACGAGGACCTGTCTAGAGAACACTTCTGATCGGTCAAAGGAACATCGGCCAGCGAGGTGTACTACAAATCCTCCAAGGGTGCTAAAATCCAGTTCTACGGGGCTTGTTCCGCGGATACACCATGCGTGAGCGAGGAGGTGAAAGACTGGGTGCAAGGCCCGGCGGTCCTAATAGCCCAGCCAGATGCGGATATCGACGTTAGCGGCTACGACTTCGATCTTGTTTTCACCATTGCGGATACGTCAGTCACCACGGAGCAGTACACAGTCCTCGCAGATGGCAAGGAAGTTGGTAAGACGCACGGCCGACTGTCCCTTGGTTGCGACAAATACAACACGAAGTACATCGCCAATGTTGATGTTGGTGTTGGTCCTTATGGCGCCCTCAGGAGCATCGCCAATGACGGGTTCTGGGGCTCATTCAAGATTCCTAAGGGTAAGTGACTCGACTGCAACGTTATTGAAGCGCCAGAGGTTCTAATATGATATACAGAAACCAAGAAAGTGACAGTTCATATGAACTATGAGAGCCCGAGCTACCCATACTTTCTCTTCGAGTATCGGATGGATAAGCTCTGTCAATGCTAGGTTATAAATCACTGGAAGAGCAACGTTGTGGCAGTCAATCGGATTCACGCAAGTGTCAGAAATAGCGACTGTTCCCTACCCAGCCGGAAGTCACAATTGAGCTGCAACACCATAGCCGACACGGTTATGTCGCGCCTGACCTAGTATAGCACCTTGGTTTCCATCGATTGAGTCTTCTTTTGAAGCCCAAAGCTAGATAGATAACGTCGGCATTTAAATCTGCAGTCTTACGCTAAACTGTCCTATCCTAGCCAACCCTTCATCGTCAAGGGTGAGAATGATTCAGTGTGCCCATGCTCCAAGTAAAGCTCTTAAGACCCTTGCTTTGATTAACTTGGTTTACTTGTCAAGAGAGGCTTGCTTTATGACTTGCTTGGTCCATGTTGCTCGGCTGGGCCGTGGCATTGCTGCTTCGGTTGTTCATGGTATTTACGTACCTACTCTCACTGTGCTAACATGCCCGATCGAAGAAGGTGCTTCTGGCACTCTATTTCCGCCACCGTATCCGAATTAATGCGGTTCTGTTCGTCCACGATGGCTTTTCGGTCGGCGGGGAAAAAGTCCACATTCAGCACTCATCGCCGGGCAGCGGAATAAATCGAAGGCCATCATCTTATATAGGACAGGGTAGTCAGATGCATGACGATCCCACCACTCCAGAGGATCCACAACTTCTAGATCGGCCTTGTTAGTCCTATTCGAAATTTATCTATAGGGGGCGAAGCGCGAGTACTGCTCGATAAACAGGTATTATGTCGGAATTGACGTGGTAGTCTTTAAGTTTCGCTTACCTATAGTCAATTCCCGACTTACAACAGAAGGCCTCCTTACATAGCGTTATCTCTGCGACCTACTTAAATTTTGGTAAACCGGTGCTTATAGTCTGCACCATCTCTTGAATAGTTCCTCTCAAGCAGGGGCTTGAGAGCACAGTGGAAGAAATAGGGGCACAGAAAGGTGAATTTAGTGATGCATGTCTTCGTCTATCTATTAGGACAAGGGAGGGGCTTATATAGGTACAGTGACCATATATAGCTAGCTAAAAGAGGGCATTAGGATGTTCCTATACCTAAGTTAGGCCTATATAATGTCCTTAGGCTAGGGGAGTTATATTAGTTAGGCAGGCTTCCTTGTGTATGACTATTGGGTCTACTAGGCATAACTATGGCCTCTTATGCCTACTCTCCTTAACACACCCCCTTACCACCCTAGCTTCTAGATAGTAGGGCAATAGGTAGAGGAGGGTTCGGTCTAATAAATATAAGGCTATTCCGATATTAAATTCGGCTACTTTACTATCTATTTAAGGAGGTTGTCTAAAAATAGGGGAGGCTCCTAATTATATCCTATAAAAAGGGAAGGTAAATATAGTAAAAGGCAAAAGCCGGGACCCGAGAGGATAGGATATAAGGAGAACCCTCCTCTATATATCCTATCTCCTCGGGCCCCTAAGTTCGTTAACCGCGCCCCCCCTAGGGCGTGGTTATATAACCTACTCTTCCGCCCTAGGGGGAGTCGAACTTACGATTAATAAGATTATATAACCTACTCTTACCGTTTAACTAGTAGTTATAAGTTATATTTATAACCTTCCTTATAAGGAGGGGTATAGCGGGGCATCCCTTTAGGTAGCCTAGGTACTATAGTACCTTTGCCGGCGACGTTATTATTTAGGATAAAAGTAATCTTAAAGGTAGGCTTTCTAATAATATATTCCTTATATTAATTAGTCTTAATTTAGTAAAGCTATTATAATTATTATAAGTTTAAGCGCTATAGTATTATACTAATTAAGGGGTAGTCTAGTAATAGCTTTACTTCTTAGTAGTAAATAGGGCTAACTTCTATCCCCTAGATCTTTATAGTTTCTTAACTAAATTAAGATCTAACTACGCTATTAAAATCCCTAAATCTTAGTATATATAGTAGTGCTTTTATTATTAGGATCTAGCGATTATTAAGTTCGCTATAGTAGGGAGATATTATACCTTAATATAGTAGTTAGGTATATTATCTCTTAATATATCTTCCGGCTATATTACTAGTCTTAGTTACTTAATAAAGCTCTAATACTTCTAGTATATAAGCGCCTTTATTATACTATTAGCTAGGTTATCTACTAATACGATCTAGCTAACTTATATCCGATCTTACTATACCTCCTAACGAAGCTAGTATCTATAAACGTTAACGTACTTAAGGTTCGTCTTAAGCTTCGCGCTTAATTTAGTTAAAAGCCTAATAGTCTAAAGGTTATTATACTAGAGCTCTATAGTCCCTTTAATACTAATGCTAAGCGCCTTAATTAGTCGGCTAAATACTACCTATTCCTTAGCTATCTATAAGAGTGCTAATAATTTAGCTTCTATAAAGGATATTATTATAGTAGCTTACTTAGTAGCTTTTTAGTTAATTAGCTTACTAAGGAGTAGGAATATATATCCTTATAAGGACTTCCTAGTCTCTAGGTTATCGGCGTATAAAGAGTTAGATATATATATTAGCCGCCTTATTAGGTTTATCGCCGTAAAGTAGATATAGCGGTTTCTTATATAATAGAGGTAAGCTAGGCACTTACGTGCTTCGTGCCTATAGCGCGGCCCGGGGTTATAATTATATTAGACTAGCTTTCTAGCTATAAATACGATATCTAGCTTAGTATAAATTGCTAGATAAATAAGCGACCTAATTAAAGAGATATATTTATATATCTCTTCCTTTAAGGCCTACTTTTTATAGGGGACGAGCTCTTCTATTATTAGCGGGATCTTAGGCTTACGAAGGATATTATTATTAAGGATATAATATTTCTTCGCGGTCTTAGAGATATAGGAAGCTTACGAGAGCTATATCTTCTTAAGATCCCTATCCTTAATAATCTCGATACTAAGGAACTAGCGTAGCTCTCCTATATATATAATAGTATATTTCTTCGTAATAGCCTTATATAGCTCTTCCTAATCTTATTTTTACCCTTAAGGATATATTATAACGATATTATTTACGAAGATAAAGATAATAACGCCCTTATAGACTAGTACGTAGGCGTCTTTTACTAGCTACTAGGCTCTAAGTTTAGTAAAGAAACTAGATATCTCTTTAAACTATAGCTTTAAGGAGATATAGAGCCTATATAGTACTTTTAATAGCTTTAGGCATAGCCTAGGTATTAAGAATCCTAGTAGAGGCTAGTAATAGACTTCTTAGCGTAGGATTATATATAGAAATATTATTTTTACGTTATATTATTCTATCTTAAAGTCCTTAAGGTAGTAGAAGGCTATTAGTAGTTAAAATATTTATACTTATAATATAGCTATATATATATCCTCGTTACCTTTAGGTTATAGGTCTCTACGAACTATAATATATACTTTAAAGCGTATAATATACCCTTATTTATCGGTCTTATATATAAAGACCTAATATAAGGGGATTAGGAAGTAACCTTTCTATTTAATAATAGCTTTTAGGATAGTCTTCTACGTGCCCCTTACTAGGTTTTCCTTTATTTCGTAGTCTATAGCTTCCTTTTACTTATATACGAATTCTAAAGCTATTACCGCGTTAAAGGAGGTAGGGGGAGGCGGTATATTTTTAATATAAAGCTTATACTTACTTACCTTTACGATAATATTATTAATAAGGGATTTCTTAGGCCTATAAGCCCGTTTTCCTTTAATAACGTTACTTAGGTTAATCCCTTATAACGTATCCTTTTATCTACGTTATTCTTATATTTATAATATTCTTAAGCCGGCCCTACTAACCGCTAGGTTAAGGGTATAGGGTTCGGACTAAGGGTTATCTTCTTAAACCAATACTATAATTGTTCCTTTACCCCCTAGGTTAAGAGGTATATTATTACGTTTATCTTAAGGAGACGAGTTAATTAATATAGGTATTATATCTTTAAGCTATCTCCTTAACGAGATATAGGAGGGGTTGCTAGCTATAGTATCTATTACGGGTATAGGAGGCATAGAGCTTAGTAACTCTATATTAAATATAGTATTAAGTAGAAGGGGTAATATTAAAATCTCTATCCCTAGGCCTACTATTTCTAGAGGGGAAAGATATATATATTTATATAATCCCTATAAGGGCGTCTTTAATCCCTAATCTTCTAGAGTATATAGGGGTAATAGGTCCTATAGGAGGGTAATTACTTCTTCTAGCGTCTAACCGTTATCTATATTATCGTCGGATAAACTTAGTACCCTAAAGGTTTTAGGTTCCCTACTATCTATAACGTCGGTTACGGCTATATCTCTAAGGATATCGAAGCTATATATTTAGACTAGCTAGGCTTACGCTTCTCTTTTTATATTATAGCTTATAGACTCGTTAAACTATATATTAGCTAATACTATTAGTTTATTCTATCTAATTAACGGTATCTATATAACGTATTATTAAGTAGACCTATAGCCTACTAGGTAGCCGATATAAGCTCTCTACTTAAGGGGTAATTACGTCTTATATAACTTAATATATTCTAATACTATAATTATTATTAGGAACGCTATATAGCTAAATACCCTTAAATATATAATATCTAGTTTAATATCTTTAATATAGTAATATAGTAGATTATTTTCTTTTATCTAGGTCTAGTAACGCTTATATAGGCTCTACTAGCTATAATTATATAATTCGAAGGGTATTATATTAAGTAGGTATACCGCTATATAGTATATCTCTAGCTATAGCTCTTCTAGAAGTTTTAAGTTAAGCCTTATAACCCTTACTTTTTCCTTTACTATTGCCCTTAATCTCTCTACGTAACTATTTTATATAGGCGTTAAAGGGGCTAACTATATAACTTATATCCCTTTATTAGTTATATAATCTATTTATTCTATTATTAAAAGAGCCCTTTCCCTATTAATAACTAATATAGTTATTTTAACTCTATATTAGGTCTTAAGTAACGCTATAAAGTTATTAAAGATATCCTTAATACCCGTTTTTCTTTTTATTAGGTAATAGAACCTTATAGATATATCTATATAGGTAAATAGGGCGAAGTTCTTTTCCCCGTTATATACTATTATAGGGCTAGGGTAAAGGTCGAAGCTAACTTATACCCCCGGACCTTTAGGCCTTAGGGATAGTGTTTTTCTCGAGACTTCCCTCTTAGCTTTCCCTATTACGTATATCTAATAGCTATATATTATAGGGCCTTAAAGCTTAGTGCCTAGGTAGGCTTCTAATAGCTTCTCTAGTAATCTTAGACTAGGATACCTAAGGCGGCGATACTATAAGTTACCTACCCCCCTAGTTAGCGGCTTAGGCGCTTATATAACTACGAATACCCGCTTATACTACGGGAGTATTCCTATTACGAATTAACCTTCGAAGTCGGTTAGTTTAATATAAACCTCCTTCGTAGGTTCCGAATAGAGGTATCCTAGGAGCTAGTTCTAGAATATCCCTACTATTATCCCTAGCCTAGCTAAGAAGATACTAATTAGTATTTCTAGGATAAAGTAGGCATTTAATAGGGTTATCTTTCTATAGTTAATTATAGGGATAATTGCTATTCCTATTCCTTATACCCTAAAGGCTTAGTCTCTAACCTAGACTTTATTATTAGAACCCTACTTAAAGGTTCCTTCCTAGAACTAACCTAGGTTATTAAAGAGGTTAATATCGGCCCTTAAGTCGTATATTAATTTATTAGTAAGTAACGGCGTTCCCTTAATAGCCGTGTTTACCCTAGATAGAGTGACCGTATTAATAGTCTTTCCTAGCCCGTTATTACTAATAATAATATCTACTAGTTCTCTTCCTTTAGGGTAGGAATTAAGGGTCTAGGCTATATATTTTACTTTCTTATCTAGATAGTCCTTTAGCCGTTTTTCGATATTCTATTTAGCTAGATTACTATATTTCTAGCCTAATAGGGGCTTCTTATTATATATTACCTATAGTAAGTAGTAATTTTCCTACTAGCTTATTAAGCTATTAACGTGCTACTTATAGCTAGCGTATTTAACTTAGGTATTTAATTTCCTAGAGATTTAATTAGCGCTTCCCCTTTTTATAGGTAGTTACGACTTCTTCCTATAGGTATATTCTTATTTAAAGTTAGCGATTAAGTTCCTTAAGGGAAGTTAATCTTTACTATATCTTTCGTTATAGAGGTTAAGAGTACTTATTATTATAGACTAATATAGGTCCTACTCGTCTACCGCTATAAGAAAATCCTATCTAATTCTTATATTATTAAGTATATCGACCTTAAGGTCTCGTAAATCTATAATAATTTAGTCGAGCTATTCTACCTATACTTTCTAGTCTCGCGTGCGTTTTTTATTAATAGAGGTCGTATATCTCTCGTAAATTAGCTTTTTCTCCTTTACCCCTAAAGGCAGGGCTTACTTCTTTAATTCCCTAATTTTCTCTCTTAGGCTATTATATATTAAGGTTATCCCCTAAAGCCCTTTACTAATTGTTTTCTTAATTAATTCTTCGAGTACAATTAGGGCTTTCTACTAGACCTTATAGCGATCGAATTATAGCTAGAACCTTTTCTCGAGGTTATAAAAGGAGTCCTTTATATCCTAGTATCGTTCGTTATAGCCTATTCGCCTCGCTAGGAACGTAGCCTTAGTTTTATCTTCTTATTAGGAAGGTCTCCCTCTAAGGTTAATAATAAATTGCTCCTAGTCCGGCTATTAGGGTTATTTAAGCTCCTTTATACTATCTAGGTTAGTATATTCCTAAATCTTATAAGTCTAGGCCTATAATTTAATCCCCCTAATCTATAGGGTCTAATCGAGGCTTTCCTTTAGTCTTACGATATAATTATCCCCTCTTACTTCCTTTAACGTTATCTTAGGAAAATAAAGGGTTCTAGCTTAATACGTAATATCCTTTTTTAAGGGATATATAATTATAATTTATATAATTTATATATTTCTAGTAGTGCCCCTTAGTATAGCTAGGTTCCTTGCCTTAATACCACGATTTAAGCGTTATAACGGCGTTAATAGCTCGTAAATAGCTTTAAAGGTAATATCGGCGGGCAAAAGATAATCTAGCCGTGCAGGCCGAGCTTATAACTCTTAAGTAGGGGCTTAAGAGCATAGTAGAAGAAATAGGGGCATAGAAAGGTAAATTTAGTAATGCATATCTTCGTCTATCTATTAGGACAAGGGAGGGGCTTATATAGGTATAGTGACTATATATAGCTAGCTAAAAGAGGGCATTGGGATGTTCCTATACCTAAGTTAGGCCTACATAATGTCCTTAGGCTAGGGGAGTCATGTTAGTCAGGCAGGCTTCCTTGTGCATGACTATTGGGTCCACTGGGCATGACTGTGGCCTCTTATGCCCACTCTCCTCAACAGTTCCATAGCTACCCTCTATACTCGTCTTATTGGCGTTACCTTCTATCGTCTTTATTTAGACGTGAAACGGCTTTAGAACGTCAAAACGGCGTTCTAGTTCGGCCGAACCCTGAGACCAATTGGGTTACCTCGGCACCCAACAACCAACCACCCCTTTTCCCTCCACGTCCTCGCATCCATCATGCGCTCACTCCGACCGTTCTTCTCGTCGGAGCACCGCAGCTGTCCACCCCAGCCTCACTGATATGGTGCTATCCTATGAGCTCTACAATGAGGAGGCCTGGGACCACGGCTCGGCGATTTTCGGAGCCATAAAGGAAAAGCTCTACAACAAGGACCTTTGCTATGAGATCGCTAGGTTCGTCACTAAGCACCGAAGAGGCGGAAGTCTCATGAAGTTCTTCCCTCTTAGAAAGGGAGGTTTCAACTTCTACTACCGCATTTAGTATTCCGACGGACGCTTAGTTATTATCTGCTTCCCCCTTCCGAGCTTTTTCCAGGTGGCTGAGGAGGAGCTACGTGCCGAGGTTGCTGCAATGCGGCATAATCACTGATAATACGATTATCCCAGTACCTTTTCATCCTCCGTTACGGCATGGCAGACAAGAGCAATATACTAAGCGGTTTTACTACTTGAGTACAAGCATGAGCTTTATTTATATTAGTCTTGAGTGACGAGGCAGCCTCAGGGTGTTATGATATTAGCCATCGAGGCGATTCGGAGATATGCATCAAGCTCACCGAAACGGTATGAAACGTAATTGACCCATTTACCGCAACCACTCTCTTCATTATACGTCATGACAGCTTCAACTCGGTGGATTAGTGTCCATCCACTCCACTGCGCCGCCAGTGGACTTAGTGGACTGAGTTGCCACCCTGCCGGCTTGTGCTGAGCGTGGGCTATCGGACAAGGAGTCCATGCATGGACCCCTCGCGTCGCCAACGCTCCAGCACCTCCTCATACTCGATGATGCCCTGAGGGTAGTATGCGCCGCGGGCGCTCTTGGTCTGCTCCTCGGGCGAACTCTGGGCCGGGTCGCTCTCGTTGTTGAAGTAGCTGGGGCCACAGATGCCGAGCGGGGCCATCCAGGCGCTGCGGGTGAGAATACGCTCCGTCCACTCGGCCTCGCCCTGCTCAGTGGCCTCGACGACGGCGCGGGCCTGGTCAGGGGCGCGAGCGAGAGCCTCGGAGAGGACGTAGGCGACGTGCTTGGCGAGGTTGTCGAGGCCGTAGACGAAGTTGGCCGAGACGCCAACCTGGGCGGGCCCCATGAGGATGAGGTTGGGGAAGCCGTGGGTAAGAATGCCGTGGAGGGTGGTGGCGCCCTGGTACAGCCACTTGCTGGCGAGCTGGGCCCCGGCGCATCCCGTGATGGTGGCGTTGGACACGCCGCTTGGTTCGCCCATGTCGGTCGACGGGGAACGGTAGCCGGTGGCGAGAACGACGATGTCGAGTTCATGCTCTTGACCACCGACGACGACGCCGGTGCGGGTGAAGCGCTCGACACCCTTAGCCGCCGTGTCGACGAGGGTCACGTTGGAGCGGTTGAAGGTGGCAAGATAGTCGTCGTGGAAGCAGGGCCTCTTGCACCACGAGGGATACCACGCCTTGAGCGCCTCGGCCGTCGCGGCGTCCTTGGTGACGATGTCGTCGACGCGCCGGCGCAGGCGCTCCATGCGCGGGGCGTCAATGGCCAGGGCTCGCTGGATGAGGCCGACGACGCCCTGTAGACCGACGGGCTGCTCATGGGGCCCGCCGACGAGGTGTTTATAGGCGCCGATGGCGGACCAGGCGTCGTTGACTAGGTTGTCCTCGGCCGGGTAGCCGCAGATAATGCTGTTCCAGTTGTTATTGCGCGCCCTCCACCAGCCAGGCGAGGCCGTCATGGCCTGCCAGGCCTCTGGGTCTGTCTCGCGCTGGCCGCGCTCGTCGACGGCCGACGGGGTCCGCTGGAACACAAGGACGTGGCCGGCCCATTTGGCCAGCTCGGGCACGCACTGCACGGCCGTGGCGCCGGTGCCGATAATGCCAACGCGCTTGCCCTTAAAACCCATCAGGGAGGCATTATCAGGCGAGCCGCCGCTAATGCCATAGTCCCACCGGCCTGTATGCATCATGGGGCCGGCAAAGTCACCGATTCCGGGGATCTTAGGCGCCTTGGGGTGGTTAAGGACGCCATTGGCGAGGACAACAAACTGGGCGCATACATTCATGTTGACAACATCGCTCTTGGCCAGACCGCGGGCTTGGGCCAAGCAGACGCGCCACCGGCTGGCATCTTCATCCCACGCCAGAGAGCGGGCGTGGGTGCGGAAGACGGCCTTGTCGGCGAGACGCCAGTGGACGGCGATGGCCTCGGCATGACGCCTGATCTCGGGGCCATAGGAGAAGCGGTGCTTGGGCGTGTAGCCCATCTCCTCGAGCAGGGGCAGGTATATAGAGCTCTCGACGTCACACATAAGGCCCGGGTAGCGGTTCCAGTACCAAGTGCCGCCAAAGCCGCCGGCCGTGTCGACGATGCGCACGTCGCCGGGGGCGAAGCCGGCCTCAACGAGGCGGACGGCATGGAGCAGGCCGCCAAACCCGGCGCCGAGGATGAGGAGCTTGATGTCGTCGCCATCGGCAAGATTGGGCGCCTGCGCGTTGAGGGTCTCATGGTCGACCCATGGATCCTGGGCCAGGTTGCTGAGGGGACCCGCCGGCTCGAGCTCGAGGTCGATATACTGGGCGCTTCCATCCGCCCGCAGTCGCTTCTTCTTCTCTTCCTCGTACTTGCCCATGATGCAACCCAGATCAGGCATCTCGTGGCCATCGCTGGCACTGACTGCCATGGCGGTCGTCGGTCAGGGACGGAGGAAAGACGGCGGTGGTATGAGTCTCGCAAGAGAAGAGTAGCTGACGATAACGATCAAGTCAAAGCAAGGGTATGTCTGAGTGCAAGTCAATCAAGTCGAGGGGGGTTACAATGTATTTACAACAGAGAGATGGGCCTATTCGGCCGGAAAAGGAAAAAAAAGACTCCATTAACTCTGTCGAAAGTGACCTAAGATACGGATATTAAATTGGCGATGGAGTCAACCAGGCCTAACATCAAGGTTACGGCCCTGCTAGCGACTTTACAAGGCTCTCTCTAAGTCTAGGAGACTATGTATCCGTATATAAGCTTAGACCGGACGAAACTAAACGCTGCTTTCAAAATGCCGCTTAGGGATACAACAAAAGTGGCAAAATGTGGCAATAATTCTCTTCATGTCTCCAGATTAACGCAACATACAATTCCAACCGCTATGAAATGCCTTTGGTCACCGCTAGAAATACCGGTATCCTCAGAGACGACATCTATGTCTATCTGTTACGGTCTTCCCAGCAACAAATAAATTAGTACTGTTACGTGGATCCTTAGAAAGGTATCTAGATTCCAACCAGCAGGGGGGACATTAGCTCCTGTCATGCTGGTAAAATACCGCTACACCATGCAAAATAGGGGCACCCCCATTGGAGGTGTTATTAACGCGTATTATAAGTCCTTCTTTGCTCTGACAGCTCCCTAAGTGGCATTATCACGGATAAGCTCATGCAGTCGCACGCTGCAATACGGCCGATCTCTCCAATGCATAACTTTAGCAATATATATTTTATAACGATTTGGCACAAGCGATCCGATCATCTATTAAATGATGTTATAGTAGCCTGGTGTTGAGACTAGCTCCTGAGTGATACATGGCTGTCTCTGTTGACGCCGCGAATGTAGGTAGACGGGCCGAGAATCTTAAGCTTTTTTTTGGGGGGGAGGGGGGCGGGGGGGAGGAGGGCGTGTCTGGAACGTTCAATGGCAAGTACGGTACTTGGAGTTAAACACCCCCCCCCCCTTTCCCTCATGACCGCGCGTTTCCTTGAACCCCCCTGTTTATTCGAGAATGAAATTCCCGTCAAGCTGGGATGGAGATATATACGTTTCATAAGGGCGAAGGCGGAAGGCAGTAGGGTTTCATCGTCAGGCGGACGCACTCCGTAGACAGAAGCTCAAGAATATTCGGCTTGGATGAGGTTGTATGGAGGCGTGAAAAGGGGTTAGTTAGTGATGCCCTTGCCGGCGCTGGGTGTCTTCAGTGTATCTTCCTGCTGAGGACGTCTTTTCCTGTGTCTCAAGGGTCGCACGTAACCGGAACAGCCGTTGCCAATTAGCTTTGAACACGACCGACGCAAGATTAGGCTATAGTATTAGGGATATCCATTTTGCATACACATCGAGGCATATAGCGTCTGGGATAGGCTATATACCAAGAACAGTCACTTTATATACCATTATCACTAAGTATATTAAAATATTAAGCAGTAAGGAGTATACTGCGGCTAATATCGCCATTATAGTGGCTAGTCTTACGCGGAATTAAGTATGTAGTTAGATGTACTACTGGCATTTAAGAGGCAAACTAGTCGCAGTCCGCGCGGCGCTAAGTGTCGATAGTATCTCCTCGCTGCCGGAGATGTCTATTTCCTATGTCTCAAGGGCTGCAGGTTGCCGCAACAGCCGTTTCCAATTAGCCTTTGACACGACAGACGTAGTATTAGCCTATAGTGCTCCGGATCTGCATTTTGAGACTCAATGATAAATAAATACATACGGATAGTTTTAACATCTTCATGTATGTTGTTCAGTATATCCTCATCCATATCTCTTAATTTTATCAGTAATTACTAAATATAATCATAGCGAGTCAAGATGTCGTCGCCGTCTCTTGCCATATTATCATCTTGTCATCTACTGCAACGCAGATGTGTGCGGCTTAAGTCAAGCTTCATCTAGTTGCTCAGGCATTACAGCTTCTAGGGAGTCTCAAGATAGTCTCAACCGAAAGTCGTGCTCTGTCCCCAGAAATTGTGCGCCTTGCGATGACGACCCAGACGCGGTCGGTCGCTCTGCAGTCTAGTCGGACTGTACAGACGGTGTTTGTTAGCCACACTAGGCCGAACAAATAAGACCTCCCTCCACGGCTGATGCTTTGGTCTGCGCCCTGCCGTCAAAAAACCCATTCACCACGAAGCCATATCTTCAAGCCCCTGCAAATCTTCATAATGGCAAAGCACCTTCATTGCCTACCTCTCGCTAGACAGCCTTTTCGTGGTTCACGTTTGGGCAGGCAAGTGAACTCGCCTTGTTAGCCTTGGCAGTTGTTATGGTCCGAACGGGCCGCACAATTGTCAGGGCAGTTCTCCGGACTGGTAGGGAAGGCGTCTAAATTTTTCCCACCGGTTCCCGGTTCTGCTGACAGAGCCCGAATAAGGCAGATAGAGTCGATGACAACCTGGCAGCCAAAGGCAACAAGCGGAATCCAAAAAGCAACTGCACCGTTCCACGCCATAGGGCCGGTCTTGACGCAGTGCACGGCGGCGGCTAGCACATAGATAAAGGGGGCGACGATGTTGAGTATCGCCGTGGGCTTTGGGAAAAGAGGCTTGGGTCGTGAGTCTATGATAATAGCATAGGCAATTGTGAAACTCTGGGCCATAAAGGTCGGCCAGGGCAACAAGAAGGTGATCCAGAACATATCGTTGAGGGTTTGCGTGATTTCGACAGGACGGTCGAGGCGGTAGTTTGCGACGGCTAGCATCAAACCCGGCAATAGGAATGCAAATCCGCCGGCAGTGCCCAAGGCCAGCTGGAGAGCACTCACAGCGTAGTGCAGGTTGGGGATGCATTGCATCTGGGCCGAGATGGCCACCGTCAGGAGGATGTAGAACATGCCTGAAACGACTATTAGGGCCGCACCGGCCTGGATGCCCTTCTCGTGGTTGCGATAGTGTCTGGCGGTTTGTTCGGCATCTAATAAAGGTGAAATGGGAGGAAGGAATCCCGATACAATAAACGCCACGAGGGCAAGAACTAGGCCGAGAATTCCGCCAACTGCACACGTAAACTGGAAGTTCCGAGGGGACATGATGGGAGATCGTCCCCAGCGGTCGAGAAGACGATCTAACATGAGTGACATGCTTTGACGTTTTTCAAGAAAGCTTTAGGGATGTATAAAACAGGAGCATCTATTAACTATTTAAAACCTAATGGACGAAGCACCTAATTTATAGCTGTTGGCTGGGATGCGGGGCACTCAGCAAACGGAGTGGAACTACGGATGCAAAATTCTAGGGCAGCCAAAAAAAGGAAAGGGTCGGTTGAGGTAGCATTTCGTGCTGGTTTCTTCGTGGCCCTGGCTGTAGCGAAGTCTGGTTGTTGCCGCCCTGTTAGGCCTGCCAGTAGAGCAGCTGGAAAGCTTTCCCCAGCTGGTAGGGGGAGCAAGTTTCAACTCTTCAACCTGACAGAAAGTGCAGGGCCCTCAAGGCTTCTACCACCACGTCATCCCCCTCTTTGCAGAGTTATATAAAGGGGTGTATTGTAAACCAGCCTGTGTTACAGACTAATGTATAGGAATTACACGCAGGCTTAACACTATGGGGTGTGCTTACTAGTAAAGGAAGTAGACGAGGGCGTCAGGGATGCTTCTAGAGGCACTAAATGCAGTAGTCACCATGTAAGACATACAGGAAGTCACATATATAGTTCTAGATATCTGTTTTCAGCTTGTTTAGTAAGGAATCCTGTTGGTCCCTGTACATTATACATATTACACATAGTTACACCTGCAGACCCCTTCATTCAGGAAGGACAGCGCGACCTACGCACTCTCTCCTAATGCAAGGACTTAATTACTAGTAATAACAGAGAAATTGGTCTACGCATATTCTTAGGTTAACTTCCCTCCCTTCCCCACCCTTAAACGAAAGCTTAACATTCTCAGCCAACAGAGAAGAGCCACGTATTGATGCATTGTTTCTGCGCCTTGTCGATCGTTAACTTGCCTGGCATGGCTACGCGAATTTGAGTGGGATTAATGGGCACATGTTCCCAGTTAAGGCTCTAGCCAAGCGTGATCTATGGCGCAAATGGTACCCACAGCCACTGCAGAGGCAAAAATGTACCATAGGGCAAAAGAGAACAGAATTGGCTAATAAGCGGCAAGGCTTGCTATGGACGGAAGAACATAATACACGTAGTATTATACCCCCTAACGTCGTTCCTACCTGACTGATCGTACCATAATATGTATTTATATAAAAAAGCTAAGGAAAAAAACCCTAGCTATTTAAGAGCTAATATATATATATATATAATTACAATTTTTTACGCTATATTATATAAGTATATAGAGCTATTTTAATATATAATATATATTTTGCTTTTTACTTCCCTACCGGCTTAGGCTTTTACTAGGTTACTATAGCCCTATAATAATTGAGTAAAGCTATTTGTACAACGCCCTTTTACTATTAGTACAACAGATCCATTTTTTCGGTACGTACACCCGCTAGGCCGCCCCGCCTAAGATACCGCGCCCGGCCTAGTAAGTATCCGTATCTTTTAAATGCCCTCGTCCACACACATATACATTGCGCCCACCTACACCTACCTACTTATCTATACACATAAATTTAAAGCTATCCGGCAGCGGCGGCGGCAGCGGCGGCAGCTGTAGCCGGGTCAATTAGTGGGCTATTGCAATATCAACTTGAGGCTAGAAATGCGTTATTTGAGCGAATTGAGCGGACGCGTTGTGCGGCCGCAGCTGCGCCGGCGGAAGGGGCGCAAAGTGTGTGTGTATGTGTGGACGAGGGCATTTAGAAGGTACGGGTACTTGCCAGGGCGGACGCGGTACAAGTGGTGCGGGGGCCTGGCGCGGGTACGTACCGAAAAAATGGATCTATTGTACTAATAGTAAAAGGGCGTTGTACAAATAGCTTTACTCTAATAATTTACTAGCCTATAATAATAAGTTTTACTATTTCGCTAAGTAGAAATCTCTATTCGGCTAACACTAGCTATAAGGCAGGGTACCTTAATATCCCGTATTAGTACTATCCTTTTGCTATTCCTTTTAGCGAAAAATGTTTAAAATTTTCTAGATACCCGTTGATCTTGGTGTGGGGCCACAGCAGCCCAACTAAGTGTCTTCGCCACTTAGTTGGCCCAAAAAATCCGGCACAGCCCAAAAAATCCGGCACAGCAGGGTCCTCAATTTGGGGTGCAAAATCAAGGGAAATTCTACGCTTCGCTTCATGGTGCCGTCAATGCGACTTCAAATAGCTAAAATATACATGTGATCAATAGCTGCGGATCACCTAAAGACGCAAGTAACAACGAAAAGTGAAAAAATCACGTCTTTGGGCCTATTTAGGAGCTGCCGCCTTCCAGTCGAAGAGATAGGAAGACCGCGTTTGTGAGTCCAAATAGACGTATTATGTAGTAATTTCGCCTGTTGTGCGTCTCTGAGAGCTATTTTATCCATACCTGTGTTCCTGGAGCGTCTGCTGTATCTTGTTGGACGATCGGGTGCGCGGTCGAGGGCATGGTGTATCGACTACCGCTTCAACCGCTGCTAACGGCGGCGATGAGGGTATATTCTCTTGCGTGTCGAGTAAATTGTCCTCGTCTTCATCGTCGGCGCCATCCTCACTATGTTTGTCAAGATCGAGGCCTGTGAAATAGACGGTATCGTCACTGCCGGGCAACGACGACATATCTGTAAGTGGGCGAGGTCGGGTCGCTGCGCGCGCCCTGACATCTCTGGCGGAGTTATTTCTCTTCGTGGTATCATAGAAAAGGATTCCTTGGATGGCTCTTTGAGCTCCCGCATGAGGGTATCGCAACTTTGCTCCAGAGTGTAGAACTCAACGTCTCGTCCCGTAAACTCTAGCCAGGGCTTAAAGTTCAATGTCTTGACTCTGCCATTGACTAACTGCTTCTTCCCGACTTTATAGTCTTCTCGGATCTTCTGCATCTCTCCACGAACTCGTTTAAGATGCATCCTTATCTCCTGGCGCGTTTGAAGCCGGGTTTGCTTTGCCTGGAGCTCCTCATACTCCCGGGTGATGTCGGCCATGCTGGAGCTCGTGATAAACTCTCCGCGCGGCCTGACAATCTTGCCTCTCTTCATTCGATTCGCATACGCCTGGGTTCGGCTATTCTTATCGCTGACTATGCCCTGGGAATGTGACGCCATCGCGATAGACTCGGTGTTCACTTTCGCAAGAACCCGCAAGTTTTCTCGTGATGGCGAGCTCATGAGGGGCCCATACCGTTGCCGGATATCATTGAGGGCATCCGCGGCGACTTGGAAACGCGTCTCCGAGGGTAGGAGCGAGGCGTATGCAGGATTGATCGGCTGCTGTTGTCGTAGCTGCTCGTGGAGGATCTTGGTGATCACCGGCGCTGGGTCGACAGGAAAGAGGCCTGTTTTTCAAATGCCGCCATAATGTTATGCCGCGTGAAGCCAGCCTCATATACGTCCTGAAAAGCTGTGAGGAAGTTGACCCGCGAAAATGATATGTTGCCTTCTGCGAGCGACTTCCGAAGCGCTTTCTGATGTGCTGACTTTAGTGGCTGGAATACCCCAACATCAAGCGGCTGCATGAGGTGGGTGGAATGTGGAGGAAAATAGCAATGATGATATCAAACTTGATACAATACTCAGCAAAGTCAAGGGTGGTATGCCCTGTAAAGCCATCCACAACAAGCAATCGGTAGATCTTCTCGTCGTCAGGCCGTTGGTTTGGCGGCGCCTCCACGCGACTCATCCCCATGTTGGGGCGCCGAAGATGCTCGTCACAGCCGAACCACTCTTCCAGCGAATTTCCTGACTGTTTTGCTTGCGCTGACGATGCCCAAGACCAGCAGTTGAAATGCCTTGCCCACTCAAGGTGTATCTCTGCGTTGGAAAAGCCAGTTGGCGACTGGGCAAACCGTACGCCTGTCATGATGTCGATGCCGGCCCAGTTGGTGGTAGGGTAATGTTGGAAAACAAGCCAGGGTGGAAGAGAGTCCCCCACTGCGTTAACTGAGGCAATTACCGTGCAGGATTCTCGGTTTGCTGGGTCTAAAACTCGGGGCCGGGTGCTCTTGACTCTAGTGGTGCGCGTGATGAGAACTTGGATGCGTTCTCGCAGGCACCCAATGCGTATTCCGGCCTCGTCTTCATTCCAGATCTCTGAACTGCCAATACGGTAGCTGGTGATGATTTCTCGAAGCTTTGAGTAGAAAAATTCGACTTCTTCTACCCCGTGGGCTTCAAAGGACTTCCGGGCTCGTTCAACTGCTTTGAGATACGTCTTCGCGATCGCAGGATGACTTCCACGCCAATTGTCAAGCCAACTTGACGAGACCGGGCGGGCATTGGGATCTCGACGCATTCTTATTGCATTTGCAACAGCTTCAAGTTGCTCTCTCGTGGCGGGCATGCCGGTGCGTTCCATCCACTGTACATACGCAACCAGGGCGTCGTCTTCGTCCTCCGTCAGCGCCAATGGACGCCCTGGAGCACGGGAAAAGGGGTTTCTTATGAAATTAATGGCTCTCTGTACGGATGAGCTCTTCACATTGTAACGGATGGCCGCATCTCGCACGGAAAGAGGCGTTCTTTTTGGTGTTGTTGAGCGACGAACATCGGCTCTGGGGTCGCGACGAGACGCCAGAACGGCTTTGCTGCCTCCAGGGTAGCCATGTTATCTGTCATAATGTATTCCGGCAAAAAGATACGTAAATAAAGTCAAGTTGCGCGAGAAAACGCGGTTGAGATGCATAGGGTTGACGTTTTGGAGGTGGGCTGCTGTGCCGGATTTTTTGGGCTGTGCCGGATTTTTTGGGCCAACTAAGTGGCGAAGACACTTAGTTGGGCTGCTGTGGCCCCACACCAAGATCAACGGGTAGCTCTAACTACAAAGTAGCGTACTCGAGCGCCCGAGCTAGTAGGGGAGGGGTCCCCCTTAGGGAGGGGCCCTACTATGGGGGTTTACCCTCGCGCGAGGTGAGCGCGACGTATAAGACGAGTACTTTAAGATACTTAAGATTTTTCTTTAATAACTAAGGCGTATTTTAGCTAATTAAAAGAGG